ACAGGAGTGCGAGCCCAGAGATAGCGCCGCCCGTAAAGTTGCCAACTTTATTCTGGCCTCTATCTGGGCGGTAACCCTTTCGGATCGGGCCGGCCGCGCCGCCGAGGACGGACGGGCCGGGACGGACGGAGCCCCTAGCCTCGCTGATGTACCGAGACAAGCCGCCGTTAGGGCGCGGCCTGCTCGAACTCCAAATAAAGTACCCACTTTGTCGCGCCGGGCGGCAACCCTAGGCAACCTTTGAGGAGCCGCCAAGGCCGGCGGCAGTGTGTATAAATGGCAAGGGTGTCCGGGGCTCGGGGCTGTAAAATGCGCGTGTCTGTGTGCGGACACATTCTCACACACACGCAGAATGAGACAGCAGCGCGCCGAGGCGAGGGAGCGGGGAATAGAGATCCGATAAAGAATGGGGATCATGCCACACCGCGCCGCGGCCCACCGCCCCACAGCCCCACCAAGGGGGCGCGCGCAGCCCCGCCCCGCGCACCTCCGAGGAGTAAAAGACCCTCGGGGCGGCGCTATACATTGGTATAAGCGGCCCCCTTACGCCGATTGGACGACCGAAATCAAAACAACAACAACAAGATCGCCCACCTCACCGTCATGCTGTTGTTGTTCCCAAGCTGGAAAACGGCCGCCCCGCGGGGCGCACAGTGGGCCAGACTACCGGCACAGGCGGCTAAAATTCTACACCCGTTTTGAGCTGCAGAGTCGCTATATGGAACTCGAACCGAACGTGTGACCCCATCAATAGATTCCTCTCCGAACGAGGAATCCATTGGTGGGGTCACACGTACGGTTCGAGTCCCATTTAGCGACTCTGGAGCTCGAAACGCGTCTAGAGTTTTGGCCGCCTCCACCGGTTCCTGGCCCACTGTGGGCCGCATCATCTCGGCCGCGGACCCCTCCGGCCGCGCCGTCGACGGGCACCCCTTCGGCCGGGCGCTGCGGCGCTGCGGACCTCCGCATGCAAAGAAGGCGACTCAGCGTTTCCGCGGAGCGGCGAGGCCGATTCATCAAACTGACTGCAGAGCCGAGGCCTGCCGGAGCCTCTCAAACTCTACGCATGTCACCCCGGGGCTCCACGACGCACAGTGGGCCAGACACTCTAGACGCGTTTTGAGCTCCAGAGTCGCTCAACAGGACTCGAACCGAGCGTGTGACCCCACCAATGGATTCCTCGTTCGGAGAGCAATCCATTGGTGGGGTCACACGTTCGGTTCTAGTCCTGTTTAGCGACTCTGGAGCTCAAAACGCGTCCGGGATTCTGACCGCCCCCACCGGTCCTCTGGCCCACTGTGCGACGGCGCAAACTTCCGGCCTGGAGCAGCACGACAAGTGCTGCCTGTTCCTCGACGACGGCCTCCGCAATGACACACTCGACGTCGCCGTCAACGTTATCACCGTGCCTCGCTCTGTCTCTGTCGCACGCACGGGGCGCGCCGTCGGGGTGCGAGAGAGACAGCCAAGCACGCTGGTGAAGAGTCCTAGATAAGTGGGACGGACGCTCTGGCAACGTCGGCGCGGTCAGCTGGCGGCGCGATGCTCAATATCAGGGCCAAAGTCAACCGCCAGGTGCGCAGATAGCGGAGAGCAGCGCAGCCGGTGCCGGTGCCGCGCTGGCGCCGCTCCAGGCCAGGCACCGCCACCGCCCTTGGCCAGCCGAGCCGCCCCGGCACACTGATTCCGAGAGTCGTCTTCGTCGCTCTGTCTCTCTCGCGCCCACACGGGGCGCGTGACGAGTGCGAGAGAGACAGAGCGACGGAACCGACTCTGAGTCCACAGCGCCCCACGGCCGCACCCTCGGCACCGCCTCCACAGCTTGTCGTGTCCGCCCCTTCCTCTCCTTCCTGGAATTATCATTTTCCCCGCGTTTAAAAAAACAACAACCGTTTTCCCCCTCTAGCCTCGCGTTTTGGTTCGCTCTTATCGCGATGCTTCGCCTCGGGGCCTCCAGAGCGCGCCCCGGAGCGCGGCCGGCCTGGACTTCGGTCGTCACTGGGTGACGATTTCAAGGTTAATTTTCCGTACGAGAGCCACCACACCAGTAAATGACAGTGTTGTCACGATCATGCTATAGGAGCTTTTGATAGCAAATGTCATTGTTATTGCCATCATTTGAAAGTATAGTGAAAATTTCATCCCATATTTTGGCATGATGTGACAACAATTTTTACAGTACTTTGTATGAATTAAATTGCATGTTGTTTTTTTTACAGTGTAGGCTACGATAGAGCAATGCTTAGAGCGTGCGGCCCAGTGGCGCGACCCGCTTCGCGTGACGCACCGCCGCCGGGGACGCTGCGCGCTGAGCGCGCTGAGCCATCCATTCTGTCTTTACGCGGCGCAGTAAAACACAGCCCCCCCGCGGAAAAGGGCGCGACAATTTCACAATCAAATAAAACCGCTCAATAATGCGATTGGGGATTCGAACCCGCAACCCGCGGCGCAAACCCGCCGAGCGACTTTACGGCGCCCGGGGCTCAATCACTCGGCCGGCCAGGTTCCCGCAACGACCGCCACTCCACGCGAAGCGCGAAGCGCGCGGAAGTGCCGCGGCCCCGCGCACAGTGGGCCAGAAGACCGGCGGAGCCAGCCAAAACTCGAGACGCGTTTTGAGCTCCAGAGTCGCTAAATGGGACTCGAACCGAACGTGTGACCCCACCAATGGATTCCTCGTTCGGAGAGCAATCCATTGGTGGGGTCACACGTTCGGTTCGAGTCCCATTTAGCGACTCTGGAGCTCAAAACGCGTCCAGAGTTTTGGCCGCCTCCACCGGTCTTCTGGCCCACTGTGCAGCGATTCCAAAGAGCCACTCCGTCGCTCTGTCTCTCTCGCGCCCCTACGGGACGCCCCACGAGTGCGACGGAGACACGCCTTGGTCTGCACCGGACGGCGAAAGGGGGTTGGAGAGGAGGGGGGGGACAAGAGTAAGAGCGGGGGAAGGGGGTAGGTTTGACCCGTAATGGAGTAACATCCCCCACATAATGAATGGACAACAACAACAGTGTGGCAACTTTGGATTTATGGAATGCGCCTCCCACCCCCTCCCCCTCCCCTCGTCCACACACTCCGTTCCGCGCGGTGCCCCTTTTCGTTTTTCGGGGACCTCTCTCTTCCTCCCCCACACTGCTACACTATACAGTGCGTCGTGCCCATGGCGCCGCGCTACAGTGATGCGACGTCTCGGCTCCCTGGGTCATCGCGAGGCAGGGGAAGGACCAGGAGGGCGGTGCACCGTCTGCAGGATGAGGGCTCTGACTCTCTCGCACTCACGGCGCGTCCCGCACGGCCGAGACAGGGAGACGATGACGATGGAGCCTTCCCGCTCGAAATCAGCCTGCTGCAGCAGGATAGGACGTTGTCCACACACCGGCACGCGAGCCGCCTCTCTTTCTCCCCCCTCACTCGCACCATCGCACCAGTGCCGCCGTGCACGCACTCACTCACTCACTCACTCACACACACACACACCCTCGCATATCGATCACGTGACTGAACGCGCGCAGGGCAGAGGCCACTTCCCCCGGAGTGCGTTGTTGTGTACGTCTTCATTCCATATCAAATCATGCCCCCCCTCCCCCTCCCCACCCCTGTTGTTTGTAGCCCGTCGTGTCCAGCCCGGACACCTGATCCCGGCCGCGCCGCGCGCGCACCCACCCCGGGCGGCCGCGTGGCCTGTGCTCACAAACGCGTGCACACGCACACAGACGCACACACGTACGTGCGCACCGACACACACACACACACACACACACACACGGAGCGCCTGCCGATGTCATCATAGCTGCTGGGAATTCGTATGAGCTCTACAGCCAGCCTGCAGTGCGTAGCCTGCAGCGCACAGGCGGTGGCCAAATGCACAGAGTGAGGATAAGACAGACAGACAGACGGACAGACAGACGGACAGGCACACGGACAGACGGACGGACGTACAGACGGACAGACAGACAGGCCGACAGACAGACAGACAGACAGGCAGACATACAGACAGGCGGACAGTCAGGACGCGGCATGCCGCCACGCGTTGCATTGTGGGATATGTGCGGATGTGGCCCGGGGCGCCGCCGGGTGTCCGGTGCATTGCACTGGGCATCGCAGCAAAGCACCGCCCATTGCGTTGCACTGCGTTGCACTGCGTTGCGTCGCGTTCGGACGTCCCTCGCTGTAATCCATCTCCGCAGCGCTCGAGTGCATGGCCAACAATAATTGCATGCGGCGGACACTCGCAAAAACACGTGTCGATTCGCGTCAAAATAATAAAATGCGACAAAAGAGAAGATATGATATTTTGATCGGCCCTGTCGGTAAGCTCTTCGAAGCACGCAATCCTTGCTCTGGCAACGCAGAAGAGACCGAAGCTGAGAGAGCGACGAAAACGACTCTCGGAATGAGTCTGCAGCGCACAGCTCAGCAAGTCTGCCGTCGAGCGTCGCACAATCCTACACTCACTCCGGAAGCAGCCAAGGCTGGCCACGCTGGCGGATAGCGAGGCGGTGGGAAGAGGCGGCAGTTGTGCCAACCGCGCACTCGAAGCCCATCGAAGCAGCACTTTCCAACCACAGTTTTGTTGATTGGACGGTACCCACAGTCAGAGCCGTATCCGTCTCCACATGTCTCAGTCCAGGTTGGACGACAAACCCAGTAAAATCAGTAAAACCAGCGGAATTCAGAGAAACTTTTCAACGCGCTGGGTTGCTAAGAGAGACCCGCACCGCGCCGAGCAGCTGAGCGAAGACTGATTCCGAAAAGTCGTCATTTCGTCGCTCTGTCTCTCTCGCACTCATGGCGCGTCCCGCTGGGAGCGAGAGGGACAGAGTGACGACACGCCTCGTCGGCATCAGCCCGCGGGTTGGCACCACTGTCGGCGCGGCGGCGGCCTTGGCGGGGGACCACGGAGGGGGGACCACGGAGGGGGGACCCCGCCAGGGGAACCCCGCGGCCGGGCCTGGCCCCGCGCGTGCGCCCAAACAGGCGCAGATAGCGACTAAGTCGCAGGCAGTCGCAGGCACGAGCGAGACAGAAGATAGGGCAGGCCGCCGGCGAGAGTGTCTTTTATCTCAGTCGCGCAGTCGAGCAGCGGCAACACAGCCAGCAGTCACTCAGCAGCGCGCTCCCATTGGTCATCGCAGCGCCGCGGCCCGCCGGGATAAGAGCCATGCAGCCCACGCCGCTGCTCATCATTGCCTCCGTGCTCTTCTTCGGCGTCGCCAGCTCCCCGACCGCCAGCATGTCGGACGACGGGCCGTGCCACGAGTTCGTCAAGGCGAGCATCGCCTACCAGAAGACCCTGGCCGAGAAGGTCAAGGCGCTCAACGGGCGCACAGTGTACCTGTTCGACGCCACGGGCTTCGCCGCCGGCCTCCAGGACGCCGTCACGGCCGAGTCCCTGCGCTACAAGACGGGCACCCTGGACGGCCGCCAGGTCGACGCCGTGCTGTCCGTGTCCGCGCAGACCAGCCTCAGCGGCCCGGCCGGCGCCCAGACCTACCTCCGCTGGGCGGGCCAGGGCCAGGACATCCACGTCGACGACCATGGCGTCCACATCTAAGGTCAGTCCTTAGGTCCATTTCAGCCGCATTTTCTATTTCACAACCGTTTTCAACAACTTGCGCAATGCGCCCCGTCAAAGATGGCGGCGGTGGGGCTCCGCCTGCTGCAGTCGTGCCAACCCAACTGGGTATTCCCCTCTGATGCACTATAAATATCAGAGGCGTTTGACCTAGATGTCAACTCTCACCCCATTTCCGCAGTTAGAGTTCGGTTGAGATCAGTGCAAAAAAAAAGGCAACAAATAATTCGTAAATGTCGCCAGACTTGAAGGTCGAGGGAATTATTCAGTTGGCAGCACTGGCTGAGGGGGATCCCCTGTCCCACTTGCGAGCCGCTGATGTAATTTGTGGGCGACTCCGCGGCCACCGCTCCGATATTGCATCGGGCGAGCCAAAAGCCGAAAGGCGCTATGGATGCACTCTGCGGTACCGGTAACAAGGTTTCGTCTTTGAGAGCGGCCGCAGGCTGAGTCCGAACGGCGTCGCTCCGTCTCTCTCGCACGCGTGCGGCGTCCCCTAGCGGTGCGAGAGAGACAGAGCGACGAAGCGCGCACGGTTCGGAACCGGCCGGCACGGCAAGCCCGAGACACTGCGAGTGGGATCCATTCCAAGTTTGTAGGCCAGGGAGTAGCCCACCCGGCAGCAGCCGCCATTTCGCGGCCAAAGTCGAGGTCATATCTCTCTACAGCGGGCCAGACGCAAAAGCAGCTAAGACTCGGTGCGGTGTACTCCCTCGCCTCGCCAAGCACAATGTCTAGGTTTCTTTTTCACTTCGGGCTGCGACTAAACAAAAAGACTGAAACCTAGCCGTCGGAAATTTTGGCAAAGTTAACCGAAACCTTCAGCTGAGCATGAACCTTGAAAAGCCGTTCTTGAAAACAGAAAAGCAAACCGCTTGGAAGAAGGCGTGATTACTTGAGACAAAATGTGGCTACCAAGACGTGTCCAGTAAATACTGTAACTCCCAAGACAAAAAAAAAGGCTTTTCACACGGTAAAAACTGTTCCTGGTTTTGCCAGAAAGCTCTTGGCATCGACATAGGTGATTTGCAGGAAGTTCCTGGAAATACCAGGAACCGTTTTTGCCGTGTAGGGTGTGGCTCTGGACCACCCTTTGCGACCCAACATTTCTCTCAGTGAAGATTTCAATCCCTTGACTCAAATGTAGACTTGTCTGTTCCTAACGACATGCTTCGTTGCAGGACACTGCCGCCGCCGCAGCCCTCCTCCCGCGAGATTAACGACGCCATCATTATGCAGCAAGAATATTTACTCGGATTCATTCCGCAATGAATCACAAAACTTAATTTGCTTCACTGCTTTTCCTCAATTAATTTCGCGCCAAATCGGAATCAATATTCATTCCGCACAATCAATCATCAATCAATGTAACTTTTCAGTTTAATTTTACGCAGCGCGTCGCTTGGTGATTGAATCTCTTCGTTATTAGCATCCGCGCGCCCCACAAAAAAAGAGATGAAAAAGAGAATAATAAAATTGATTAATTAACACACTGCGCGTTGATGATCATTTTCCGAAAGTGTCGCTGTTTTCTTATCCGTTCACTTATTTATTCGGCCGCCCCTCCCCGTGTGGGAAATTGAACAGTTGCAAGGCCAGCGGAATTGGGCAAGGCTGGGCGGGGGGAGGGGGAGGGGAAGAGGTAGGGGAGGGCGAGAAGAGGGGAGGGGAGGACGAGCGGAGGGGAGGGGAAGGGGAGGGCGAGGTCAGGGGGAGGGTGATGACGAGCACGGCGACGAGGAGGAGGCGGAAGGAGGAAAAAAACTGGTGCAGAGTGCGCTGTCAATGGCGATACGTATCGCGCGCATCCTGACGGGCTGACCAGAGCACTCCAGTGCCGGCGCGGTGCGGCGTGGCGCGGCGTGGCGTGGCGTGGCGGCCTGGGCCGAGGCCTCAGCGGCCCTTAGCCCCGAGCGGCATGCGGCCCGTGACAGGTCTGTCATCAGTGTCACTACTTTCGCGGGAGGGAAACAGCAAGCGACTCGCCGGGCCAAAACTCGCAAGCACGGCCTGGAAAAAAAGGGGTGGGGGCGACAGGCCGCCGTTCTAGTCCGCGGGGGCCGTGCGGCCGTCGGCGCCGCGCCCTACAGGGCCCTGGCCCACCCTGGCCCCCGGGGACGCGAAATAACCAGAACGGAATGTTGGCCGAAGCAGGCAAAGGAATGTGTATCGAACTGGGCCTGAAATGTCGTGGCATGTGGCACCAGCAAACGACGCGACCAGCGAACACGCACGCACACGCACGCACACACACGCACATGCACACACACACACACGCGCGCGCACGCACACGGAAGGGGGTGAGAGTCTGTTTTCGAGAGCTGCACAAAGCGACAGGGGGTCGGATAGAGGGGCCTTTTGCCGGGGGTGCAGCCAGCCGAGCCCTATCCCCCACGTCCTGCCCCGCCCCACCCCACCCCACCCCGCCCCGCCCCACCCCGCCCCGCCCCGCCCGCCCCGCAGCAGCTCGAGTAGGCCCTGCAGGCTGACTCCGAACAGAGGTCCGCCGCTCGGTCCCCCTCCCCCACGAGTGCGAGAGAGACGGGGCGACGCGAGCGCCGTGCGGAATCAGCCTGCCGCTGGCTTTTAGAGACGCGGGCTGCAGCGCTGGCAGCGCACTCGAACGCGCGGAAGTGGCAGAGTCGCACTCGACCGGCAACCGGGAAAAACTACCCCCGCCCGAGAGGGGCCCGCGTCTCCCACGGTGCGGGCAGCCGTCACCGCGCGCCCGGGTTCTAATCCCGCCGCCGGCGGCCGCTTTTTTATTTTCCGCCGTCCAATTTGCCCAGCCGGTCCTTGATTAAAGAGGCCTGGATGATCGCCCCGGGCTCGGCGGCGAGGCCTCACGCGAGGCTAGGCCTCCAAGGCTAGGCCTCCAAGGCGCCCGCTGACTAGGCAACACGCCGCTCGCAGTGCCGTGCCTCGGCGCCTCGGCCAGGGAGTCAGGCAGTGCCACGCCGCGCCACGCCGCGCCACGCCCTGCAATAGTGATGAGGCAGCTGCCAAGCGGGCAAACAAACCCGCACCAAGTTTTCCTGCGTTCGCGGGAAACACTAGGACCCGTTCGAACGCAGCCTGCCGCCGCGCCGTCAACGGCCGTCGGTCGGCGCCCACCACGACCACCACTGTTCGTCGCTCTCTCGCTCCCCCCAGGGGCGCCCCATGAGTGCGAGAGAGACAGACCGACGAGAGCACTGTTAGGAATGAGCCCACCGCTCAAGCGAAGGTAATATTTACCCCGGTGAGATTACCGCACGACTGACTTGCGGCGGTCTTTTGTTGCTTTGGTTCGGTGGCGGTCCGCCACCGCCTACTTCCGAAATGTCGTTTCGTCGCTGTCTCTGTCGCACTCCTGGAGCGCTCCGTGGGGGTGCGAGAGAGACAGAGCGACGGAACCGTCTCTTTCGGAATCAGAGGCAGCAGGGCCTGCTTCGCCTCGGCTTTGCCTCCCCGCGGCGCGCGTCCGCCAGAGGCGAGCACACCGTCAAAGTCCCACGCCGCGTCAAACAGTCTGGAGTCCGGCTGGGATATTGTTTGGCGCTCTCGCTGCCTACTACGCCAAATGCGACGAGCAGTACACAGGTAGTCCACAAATAACCCATCGACGCACCAGTACTCATCGAAAAGGTACGCAGCCCATCTCAGCCTGCCAACTATAGGCAACTTTCCGACAGCGAGGCGCAGATATAGCCTCGTTGGCAGGCCGGAGGTTGGCAACCCTATCGACACTGGTGGGAATTTTGGCCCGCTCAGGTGGCAACACTAGACGAGTGCGTCTCGAGTGACAGGCGCGGATCCAGAGGGGAGGGGGACAAAGACAGTTTTGACCGTCCGTGGCCTCTAGACAGCCGCCTGAAAGATAGGCAACAAGCCACACTTTGCCCCAGGAAGCAGGCAAAAAGTGCTGACCCCACCAATGGATTCCTCGTTCGAAGAGCAATCCCATTGGTGGGGTCACACGTTCGGTTCGAGTCCTGATTGGCGATTCTGGAGCTCAAAACACGTCTAGAGTTTTGGCCGCCTCCACCGGTCTTCTGGCCCACTGTGCGGTTCTCCCCCCGGCTCTGGATCCGCCTCCGGAAGCTCGCGCGCGGATCAGCCTGAGTGAAGACGTCCCGTCACGCCAGGCGCACGGCAGAGACAAAGTTGGCCGCATTCGAAACAAAACTTGCAAATGAATTTCCGGCCCGGTCGGGCGGGTCACGCGACAGCCACACCGTTAGGACACACAACACACCCTCACCTGTTATTGGAAGCAGCGCGGGCCGTTTTCCCGAACGACTCCGAGGGCGTGCCTTCCTTGCCGCCGGGCGCTTCGGTCCGAGAACGGTAGCGCGGGAAACGCTCGCCGCCAAAGTACTCCAGGAGCGCCGCCGGCTCGGCTGGCTGGCCGGCTGGCTGACGGGGAGTCTCTCCCCGCGGGCACAACACAGCCTCACTCACTCACTACCCGTCCGCAGACCACCTCACTGTAAATCCTTCAAATCCTTGCACTTTAATCCACGGCGAGTCTCCTCGTCTTGGCGTATCCGTCGGGTTGGCTTGGTGGCCTACACTGTGGCGGGCCGCTGGCTAGACCCGGGTCGACGGCCAGGTCGTCGTCGTGGTGGTCAGCACCTCGGCGACGAGGCCGGCGTCGCGTGGATCGACTCGCGACACGGCACGGAGGGCGGCGTGGACTGGCGTAGACGCGGGGCACGGTCCTCTCGGCAGAGCAGCGCTACGCCCACTGGCGACGCGCGGCGCTCGCGGGCCTCGCCTCGCCCGCCGCGCAGCGCAGCGCCGGCCGCGGTGGCGCGCCCTGGCGGGGGGCGGCGGAACTCACCCCACCGGGAGGAGACGAACCGAACCGCTCGCTCGGATGATGACAACGGTGTGTGAACTCGCCGCGTTCAACGCTCGCGACTACCAGCTCGGCTGGCCAGGGCAGAAAGGCAGAAAAATCTGCGGGACCTTCGGGTTTGGGACCAGTAACGCACAAAGTTTGGGTAAGAGACCGTGAAGTGGGCGCGTAAAAAGAGTGACTGAATCTCCAAAGTAGCCGTTTTCGCTGATTTTGGGCGGCCACTGCGTCCGATCTAGTAGCGGCCAACGGCCTCACGCGTTGCAGTATTAATAAGAATCTTGTCATGTGACAACTTGAAAACTGTATTTTGGACTTTGGACTACGCTAAACAAGAGTTGTTCCGACCAGTTGCGTCTAAAAATGTGTCAAACGAAATTCGCGTTGTGCGAACTATTGGTGGCCACGGTCAACAGTGCCTAAAAGGCCCACCTCGAGTTTGTATTCTAAGACCTATTTTCGTGCCCGTATCGGAAGGTCTTGAGCAACAATTTACTGTACCCAACTGTGTTTCTCCGCTTAGGTCGCACAAGGAAGGTCCAAATTTCATTTTGGCCCGTTGGGGTCAGCAACCAATCTTTACGTCCGCTGTGGCTGCTGATCCGACGATTTCTTCAAAACGTCTGCTCTTTCTGCCTTTGCTACTGCATCCCCTAGTTGATCGTATGCCTACAGAGTGACGTAGAAAGTCAGAAGAATCTCGTTTAGGGACGAAGCACGCCTCGTCATCGCTGGCGCTCGCATTTTGTCCGCTCGGCTTGCTTGGACCCTCTCCTAGCTGCATGCCTGTACAAATTAAACAGCTAGGTGCAGCGTTGGTGCAAGTGTGCGCAACGCTCGTCGCTTAAAATCGTCGGCTGATTTTCCGCAGCACTGTCTGATCCGGCCACTTTGCACTCACGCACGCGTCTGTGACAACTCCGTCAGGCATGCTAGTACGGAATGGCAGAGCTAGTCGGGAGAATTGTCAAACTCGATCAAACGTGTGACTTTGAAAATCGTTGACATTTTGGTCATTTGAGACAATACTGCTCCAACTACTGATAATCGACTCCGTAACAAAGCATCTAGGAGGTCCAAAGCACTGCCCGTTGAGGGGCAAAGCCGCCCGGAAGCGTGGTGCAAAATCAGCCCAAAACGATTTTATAGAAGTTCTGAGCGGTTGGCCAACTTTGAGACATACTGCTCCCAAACTAGACTGATAATTTCCGTAACAAAGGCATGCTAAAGGAAGGTCCAAAGACCAACTCCTTAGGGCAAAGCCCGCCTCGGATCAGACGCAGTGGCTGCTTAAAAGGCCAAAACCGATTTTTCGTAACATTTCTGAGCTTCGGCCAACTTTGAGACAATACTCCCAAACTAAACTGATAATCGCACTCCAAAAAGGCATGCTAAAGGAAGGCCAAAACCCTGCCGTTGAGGGAGCAAAATCCGCCGGATCAGACGCTGTGGCTCTAATCAGCCCAAACACGTTTTGATAGACATTTCTGAGCGTTTTTGCCAACTTTGAGACAATACGCTCCCAAACTAAGACTGTAATTGCACTCCGTAACAAAGGCATGCTAAAGAAAGGTCCAAAGACCAACTGCCCGTTGAGGGAGAAAATGCCCGCCTCGATCAGACGCTGGTCTTAAAATAGCCCAAAACACG